TTATTAGTCCATGTATGATTAATTGGTTCTTAGGCATGTGTGGCTGGTTTTTGTAACCTGTAGGTAGAGTATTTTTTCTTTGTTCTTGAATCAGAGATAAGAATATTATTATCTGGAATAAATACTAGCTGATGTACCTGTTAAGTGCAAATGATCCTTGAGGGTGACATGGGAGGCCATCTGAGCATCTATCCCCCTATGTCATTCCTCTCGGGGGGGGGGGGGGCTAAGGGTATATGTTAGGCATGGTGACAACTGGTTTAGTGGTTCACGAGTTATAAGTGGACACACATCACAGTGGTTGAGATTAATAGGTGAATGGCTAAGAATTAAGTTAAATGACAAATATTTGACAATGTTGAATGAACTATGGATGATTATTTCTATCTTATGTGAACTTAATAGTCTCAATAACCTGACATGTATAAAAAAAAATCACCTGATAGTTATTAAACGTTTTGTTCCTGAGAACCAAATTTTTACATGGCCTTATGAGTTATGGAGTCATTCTAGTTTTTAAACACTTTTTCTTTTTCAAATACTTTTAGTTCAAGTCTACAAAATGCTGCAAAAGACAAAATTTCTTGTGAAAATTCCTCAACCATCTGTTTTTCCAACTGTACACGATGCTGTAAAGTATGCCCAGCAGACATTAACCAGAGATGTTAGTATTAATGTGGTATGACAACAACTGAGATTACAGTTGATACACTGACATAGCTTAGAACAATGTTTTTGTAGAAGTTAGTTTACATGATACACCAAGTGTATCTGAGTGTTCAACAACTAAAGGCGTATACATAATTATTAATCAATTGATAATTCTTCCCTTATAACCGCCATGCTATTTACTTTTACACACATTTTATTGTTTAGTCTTTCTACTTTTTTTTTCTTTTTAAAGTGGAAAATTGTTATTATAATGGGATATGTCTATGTTATGGTAGAATATTTTTGAGCTAGTCAAGCTAAATTTAGTACTTACAGAAAGAAACTATGATGTTTCAAAAAATTCAATGCATGATGACTAGGTACAGTTTTAATTAAAATGATAAACTTCAAACAGCAATCAGAGGATAAAATAAATGTAACTCTTAACCTAAAAACTGCTAAAATAATCACCTGAATTCTGAAATAATTCTACCAAAGAATTGCTACAATATTTTCTTAGACCAAAATAAAGAGCAACATTTCCATGTTTATAAGTAAAATTAATTAGAATCTCTTTATCTGTTTTATGTATAGAAGTAAAATGAATTAGAACCTTTTAAAAAAACTATCAGCCAATCATGAAAGATTTAAGGTGGTAAACTCATTAAGCTTTAAGTTTTCTTGCTCTCTCTCTCTCAGTCCATATATGTTGTCCTTTAAACTCTGATTTTTGAGATGTGATATGTATCACACTGCTAAACTGAGTTTTGGTGTGAGTAAACATTCAGAGGAGCTAGTAAGTTTCATAAACAAGGATTTTTGCACTGAAATATTTTTTTGTACAGAGAAAAAATTTCCTATTTTCTAATTATTCAATTATGAATTCTTTGAAGTGAAAAATTGAATAGATGCAGTTTAATTTCAGCATTGTACTAATTATAATAATTGAGAATCCAGTGAGAAAACTTGATTTTTAAAGTTCAAGATCTGAAGACATAGTTCATACAGTGTCTGACATTGCATTGTGTGATAATATTTCTGCAGATGTTAGTCTGCAGAAAGCCAATTAACTTTATAACAGTATTTTCAAAGAATATCTGAGTTGTTCATTTAACATTTTATAATGAGATTTTAAAAGTGCATGTCTAAAACATGTGAAACTAAAAATGCCTTGTTTATATACAAGTTAAGTATTTATGGGTAACCATGTAATTGTACTCTAGATTTGATCAACAGCATTGCTAAATTGTGAGGGCTTAGAATCTAAGGATTATTTCTCATTTTTGTTTTTAATATGTGATATATTTTGTTGATTGAAATATATGGAAGTTGTTTTTAATTAGTTCATCAGTATTATTTAATTTTTGAGTAGTGTTTAAAAAAAACTGTTGAATTACACAGTTGAGATTGAAGGATTTATCTATTAAGAAGTTTTTCCTGCCCAGGGGTTACTCAGGAGTTGGGAAAAAAATCAATATATTTATGTGACTATTATGAATAATGTCTGCATAAATGTGTTAAAGTTTTTTGTTTTAGTATTTGTATATTATAAAATAGATGAAGACTGTATTTTTATGGTATTAAGAAGACTGTATTTGTATTCTTTGTTTTTGTCATTTAAAAAAAACAAAATAAAAGATATATGGCTGAGATGTGTTTTAGTTCTTTCATAATTACATTTGTTTTTTGTTAGACAAAAATAGTGTGATTGTTGCCCCCCAATGGCACAGCGGTATGTCTGGGGCCGTACAACGCTTGAATCCGGGTTTCGATACCCGTGGTGGGCAGAATACAGATAGCCCATTGTGTAGCTTTGTGCTTAATTACAAACAAACAAACAAGTGTGATTGTTAAACATTTAGCAGTCTTTATGATCATTTGAAGTTAACAGTGGGAAGTTCAAAGAAAGTAATAAAGATATTCATGGCAGAATTTGTATTGGTAAAAGAAGAAGTTGCAAACAAGGATTCTGAAAACCAATGGGTTTAGTTCAAAGAGGTGTTCCAGAAAGCTGGAGAGAAGATTCTGAAGAAGAGAAGAAGGGGTAAAAAATATGAATGAATAACAAGATTTTAAAAAGGATGTATGAAAGAAGATAACTATCAAGAGGGAGACGAAAATATAAGAAATTAGATGAGCATTTTTGTAAGCAAGCAAAGGACGAGTATCTTAATGAGAAATATGCAGAAACTGAGGAAAACAATTATGCAAGGCAACACAAAATATGTATAAAGTGTACTGAAGAATAAGGAGTTAAATGGGAAGCCTACCTTTCAGTGCAGCCATATTAAATAAGAATGATCAGATAATTTTTTTGAAATTGAGCATATTAAAGAAAGGTAATAGAGTATTTAAGAGAACTATGTAATGATGTTAAGAAATGAATAAAAACCCTATAACCCGAGTGCTTTCAAAAGGTGAACCTTTCTTCTTCAGGGACAAACTGGGAATGGTCCCTGAAGAAGAAAGGTCCACCTTTCGAAAGTGCTCGGTTTATAGGGTTTTTATTCATTTCTTAACATCATTACATAGT